TCATCTTTTGGGTGAAGATGCACTCGCTCGCTCGCCCGCACACATATATACACACAAACACGCACCAGTTTAAATACAAGCTCGAGATAAACATTGCAATTTTATAGCCAAATACATAATCATAAATTTTCCAATAGAAATTTATTTGTGCAGTTATTGGAGCCATATTATTTACATGCCTTTTTATTTGCGCATACAGAACGCAGCTGAAGTTATGATGCTCTTTCGTTCGATTCCATTCGGTTTAGCCGTTCGCTTGTTCGCTTTCAGCCGCATCGAATGGCGTACATTCAATCCCAATTCAATAAATATGACGTATGTGGAACATCCGAATTGAATGTGAGGCCGAAGTCAAACAATTCTGGAATATCGCAATGAATATAAAACGCCCAACCTACAAATTATGATTAAACTGATAAACGAAAATTAAACGAAGCAACGATGCAACATGAAACTCCATTCGTTTTCACTTCACGCGCGGCCAAATCCAATGCTTCGAAACAGAGTGAGAACAAGGAAGTACGCGAATGAAGTTGCAGAAAGAGAAAAATTACTTTTAAACGCAGTTGATTCACTGTTTTTTCATTCTATTGACAACATATGGAACTTAAGTTAATCGGCGAAGAAAAGATATTTCACTTTGCTTCGAAAGTCTTGTTTTGTTAAATAAATAAAACTTTTTTTAGGGCTTTTTGCATTGCATCTTCGTTTTTCACGCCATCGTCGTCGTCATCGTCTCTTCTCGCTACTCCTTTGCCTCGGATAAGTTTCAATATTTGATATTATTGAAGAGTAATACACAATCAAAACCATTGCACACCGCATAATGGCACAGAGAGAAAGGGACAGCACAGCCGATACTGAGCTAAAACCGTGTACAGAAACAAATAAAGATACCGCAAGAGAGGTACCGCGCGAAAGCCACAACAAAAGCACACTAGCTTTTGCAAAAGTAAATAAATAATAAACACTAATCTAAATTTATCTATTTATTCGGTTTATAAATTTGTCTGTGAAAACATTCTGAATTAATATTTCTCGTGCGAAAATGTATTAATACACGTACATCGCACAGTCGAAACCCGTGTGGAAAAACGTATGCATGCCCACAACCCAGGTAGAAAAGAGTACACCATTTTTGGATTGGTCCCAGAAAATTGATGGAAAAATATTTGAAAATCATTAGCTGAGTGTGAAAAACGTTTAAATGGTGAAAAAGGACGAAAACGAAACAAATGTTTTAAAATGCAAATGGAATACTAAATCGATTTTCATGCATTTACTCTGAAAAAATGTGGCAATATTTTACAATTTTCACATTTTGCTGTCACTTCACTGTTGGCCAAAATCATGTTCACATGGGTGATCGCAAACATCCACTGCAATTTGGTGCTTCTAAAGGCCGTCCAACGGAATAATGATAAAATGACTGCAGCCTGTGCATTGGCCGTGCAATGTGCGTGTGTATAGTGCTGAGGCTAAGCTCATCTCGGAATACGTAGCCATTAAAAAAAAAGCGTCCGTAATTTAAATCGACATATGTTGGCTTTCGATTTCGATTGCATAAACACATTGCGCATTCTAGCCGGCTGTTGTTGATTTTTTTTTTTTGTTATTCTTGCTGCTGTTGTTGTCTTATTTGTTTTGTTCAGCACTTCTCTTCCTCGGCGCATTCTGATGGCATCAAACCAATCACAAGCGAATAGATAGATACGCGGGCCGCGCGCCTAAAAGGAATGCAGGATGATAAAAATCCGCAAAGCATGAAATATGTGATTGAGCATTTATTTTAAAGCAGCACCACGTTCGGTAATTTTTGAGGTGCACAGGGATTTTCTTTTGAATTATTCAACCGTGTTGGTTGGTGTGTTTTTTCCCGGTCTTTTTTCTTATTGTTATTCCGTTTGCACATTTGTTTGCATAGCGTGACTCTATCATCATAAATGGTGTCCTCAATAGAATACATTCGAGAGATGTTTCCATGCATTTATTTGTATTTTATTACTAGTGACTAATTACTGTACACTCTTTAACCGTTCTCTCTCTCTCTCTCTCTCTCTCTCTCTTTCTGAGTGTGTGTTTGTCTGCTGTACACAAATTGACGCGGCGATAACATCTCGAAATCAAAATCTTTAATATCGCTTTTTTTCTCTCGTGTTTGTATGCAAATAATCGATTCTAATTTCTAATGCATGCAAACATAAGTGCATCCATAAATTGTAGTAGCAACAAACGACAACGACGATGTCGAACGTTCTTATGTGATGATAATTTAATGCACTTAAACATGAGGGATTTAATGAGTTCACTCTTGGGAACAATAAAAAATTAAAGTGGAAAAGAGATAAAATCCAATTCGAGATACATCATCGACCAATGAGACGTACTTTCCGGTTTCCAATTTAGAAGGCGTCTCTAATTTAAAATCAATTGCGAATGGCGCCTTTAATTATTGAATATCTCATACCTGACAGTAGCTTCTTCTATACATATATGGACGTCGAAACCATGAACACAACTGTATGAAAAGCAATCGCGTGCCAATCGAACATCACAACGATTTGAATTTTTAGCTGGAAAATTTAAATTAGATGGAAGAATATGCAATGCTTTTAAATTTTGTTCGATGCAAACCAAACGATGAACGTCGAATGAAAAATCGAATTATTTTCAATGAAATATCGATTATTGAAGCTGAACTAGAGAGCGTGAACACAATAAATCCATTATATTTCACATACTTCTTGCATTTAGTAGAATGAATGATAAAATAGCTTGAAATGAATATTTAACATTGTCCTAAAATTATTCATCGACTTGAATCTGTTTCACAGCTGAAAATCATTCTGCTGTAGCTGCAGTTGAACTACAAATTGTAGTCTACAATCTCTCTATCCTTCTCTGTGCTCTAGAAATGCTCGTTATAATTAATCTAAGGGAATATCACGCTCCTGAATCTTGTGAGATATTCGAGATATTTGAAATAAACATCAATTGTATGACATATTTTCGAATATTTCGAATAAATGAATCAGATTTTTGTGGATTTTGGAGATATTTGAGATTTTTTGCATTAAATCCGAATAAACACATTTAAATATCATTCATAATCACAAAAATCCACAATATTCCGCCGTATTCACAAATATCCACCATATTTCATACGACAGATTCTTAGAGATAAATTGGATTTTTTTGAAATATTTGAAATAATTCAAGCGTGATATTCCCCTAGTAATTAATAACAAAGAATTCATACCCCCTTTTGAAAAGAATAAATCCATTTAGAAGATTTTCCTTAGCATTCAAGTATTCGTTTAATAGAAATTCAAACGAAAAACCGACTAACCACGTTTCCATCGTTTTTGCAGCAAAATCCGTATCAAAACTCTTCAAACAAAAGAGAGAAGGAAAAAATATTCTTCAAAACACTCAGTAGAATTGAAAAATTTCGCTCTTTAAACCATTCTTCGATCTTTCTTTTTATCATTCTGCGTTTCAGCTGTTATGCTTCACAAGACAGAAACGAAAAGATTGCCAACGAAAAAATGCGAACAAATAATTGCATAATAATTAATTTGCGAGCGCGCGACGCAATATAATCAAGAATGTGAGAGACAAATGAATTGTGAGTGGATTATAGTGCGGTGGAAAGAACGAAAAAAAAAACGCAGCGCAGAGCAGCGACAATGGGTACGAAAATAAAAACAATCATGGTGTCGAGACGACTCTGAACACCGAAAAAAAACACAAGAACAACAGCAAACAGCTCGGTTTTAGTTTCTAGAATAGATTGTGCAGCGTTATTTTTTTTTTGTTTTTGTTGCTCTCGCTCCATTTTATCATTCTGGTTCTGTTCTCTTTTTTTATTTCGCTTTATTTATTAGCCCGTTTTCGATTCGCTTGTGAGTGTGTGTGTTGCGGTGCCTGGATAAAAAACAGCTGAAATGCTAAACCAGTTTTTTTTCGTTCTTTGAAATCGACTAAAGCGGAGTGTTTCTCTCTCTCCCTCTCCCTCTCTCTCTCTCTCTCTCTCTCTCTCTCTCTTTCGTGTACTCGTGAGACTTTTTTTCATTCTCTCGCTTGATTCTCCGTCATTGATATGGTCGATAGGAATTTTGCACTTTTGCGTGCAAACACCAATCGCCAAGACCAAGGCGTTAGCACACCAAAAGCATTGCATTTTTACTTCAGAAACCGAAAAAAAAACATAGTCAACAATCGAAATGACGCAGAAAAAACGTATGCATTTATTATGAGTTTGATCGAGATATGGGTGTTTTTGACTATCTATTCTGTTTTTTCGCTTCAATTGGACGATCATTTTCATTGGACACCCACCAAATTATGAAATATGTTTCTTTTTCGACAGAATGGTAAATTTTTCATCTAATTCTGATAGATCGGTTGGCTATCTTCCATGAATAATTGATGACTTCTTTTGTTACTGAAATTTGGTGCGAATTTCAATTTGATACCAAAGCTTAACAATATCGATGTTAAGGCTGAGAAGAGTTTAACATTATTTGTTGATGACAATGAAAGGCAATGCTTATTGATTGTGCATTTGATTTAATCGTTTAGATGGTCTGAGGTTAGACTTCCAATTATTCCATCACATAATGGGAACCAAGCATATGTCTAGTCCTTGCAGCTTTGCACTTGCATTATCAGATGCAACTTACTATCATGACCACTTTGATATAACCTGGAAACCTAACAGCATACTGTTATTTTGACCCAAATCAAACACTCTTCCATACTAAGATTGACAAAGTTGTTTTTCTTCCATTTCATGATTAAATAGATTTTATTAATTTAGCCCATAGAATAAATTAAATTCTTTATTTTTGGGGCAAAAGTGCTTCGCAATAGTTTTCAATTGAAGTATTTGCTACACAGCATTGCAATGATTGCAACGATGATGATGCATTGATTGGCCGAGCCGGTGGTGGCATGACCTGGAGCCGCAGTTGTAGCAACTGTTGTTCCTTCAAAGTGGCACGTAGTGTTCTCCTTTGTGTTTTCTATGATCCAATCCTTAAATTTGCTTGCCCGTGTGTATACATCTGGCTTCTTCTTGCCTCCTTCCAAATCGACACACGAATATTATTTCATCAGTTTGATTTTAAATTTTAAAGAAATTTTGTAATTGGTTCATGGTGAACATAGCTATAAAAAATAAAAAGTAAGACCATACCTTTTGCAAAACACCACGAACCACACTGAAAATAGACTCATATTAGATTGGGGCGAGCAGAAACATATGAACAAAATTGATTTACCTGCAAACGTTTGGTTGCTATTCCCACAAGCTGTTCATTTTCGTTGACTAGGGGGCCACCTTCAATACGATATATAGAGTGCTATTAGATTGAAGTTTCATATCAAAAACAATACAAAACGCATTCACCTTCGTCCACACCACAGGGTCCATTTTCATCATCCGACAATACACAGACATTGTTCTCGTCTACTTCGTCATCAACCTTTATGCAATCTGCAATAGGAATTTCTTTACCAGATGAGGATCGCAGAACATTTGATATTTTCCCTTTTTGCTGAAAACCAAAAACAAAGACTTCATTATAACATACAGTTGAATATTATAAGCTATGACATTTTATTACAGCCTACAAAAGGTATACTGAGATTGACTTGTATGAAACATTTTCTCTCCATCGAAATTCCTTTGATATATTGAAAATAAATTACCAAAAACTACTACTTACCTTTTCTTGGCCCCATCCGTAAAATGTAACCCTACCTTCACCTCGTTCACAATGTTCGTTTTCTATTTGTATTGGTCTTATTTCATCACACTCCGTGATTTCTTTCTCTAGAACCAATAAAGCTATGTTATAGTTTATTTCCTGACCCTCTAATCGAAAATTTGGATGACGTTTGATTTCCGTCACTCTTAGTCGTTGAAGGCCATTTTCCACTCGAACTGAACCAGCCAACACCTCAATATCTCTGGCCGATTTTCCCTCCACACATGTTGCTGCCGTTATTATATGTCTTTTTTCGTAAATTGATCCACCGCAAAAATGTTTCTTTGCAACCTGGAGTGAAACTACAAACGGCACCAATTGATAGACCTCTCCTCCTTCAATTATTTTTGCGCTGTCATTCCGGAGAGGAGTCGTCCCACCGTATGCTAAGCATATCGCTAGAAACACTATGATAGGCCGCATTTCACTTTTGTTCAATAAAAACGAACCTGAATGAACTTCAACTGTCAAGGGCTACTTTTGGATTTTTTTGATTTCTTCTCTAATTTTTTTCGGATTTTGAACAACAATTTTTTCTTAAGTATTTTCTTGGTATTTTTTTGTAGATTTTTTCACGAACAATATTTTTTGATCTTTGATTTTTAGAACTGGATTAATTATTAGTTGGAATATTGAATAGAGACCGATGAAGTATTTTGAAAAATATTTTTTGACGATTTTTGGAATTAGAACTGAGTTAGTTGATAGCTGGAATATTCAATTGATACTAATCACAAGAATCGTAATGTCGGCAATTTATAAGTTTTCTCTTTGTTGCAATTGAATACTTGGCTACTAGATGATAGTGATTTATTTTCCCATTTATTATATGTTACCTGAGATCAAAATTCTTGAAAATTTCAAAAAGCGTTTTCAAAAATTGAGTGTAAATCGATTTTTTTTGAATCAAAACATGTCATTTATGTTCACCAAAAGATTTAGGGCCCTTCGATTTTTTTTCCAATTGCCACACACAAAGATGTATTTTCGAATTGAAGGCATATTTTTCATTGGATTCTGCGATTGGAGTTGTTTTTATCATTGGTGATTGTTCAAGTAGAAGAGGAGTTTTTGCCGTTATACATGTGACATGTCCGATGGTATCTTAGAATCAAAATCTCTGAATAGTCGGCCGCTTTTGGTCGTATTCTTTTGTTGCGTTCCATGCGACACGAGAATTTCATTTTGTGATTTATCTGCCATGCAAAAAAAAATCGAATTCAATAGAGAACAGAAAACTGCCGCTTCACAACAAACCAAAAACAAACAAGCCTCTGGTAGGCTTTGCTCCAATCATCCATACAATAGCGATCCATTCGGCACCAATGTCACCGACATTGTTCGTGTGCCAACGATAAAAACATCCAAATATCAATAGCTAAACACACTTGACATTCTGAGCTTTGGCTGTATCAATAGTGATCAGGTTCGAGAGCAATCGAAGCGACAAACAAATTTCATATAGCGCTTTGTCGTCTTCCTGACACAAATTGATTTAATCATTTGCCGAAGAGAGTTTCGTTCCACACTCTTCTCTTCCATTGTCTAACCACAAATGTCAAATGTGGATTATCGACATTTGTGTGTAGGCCAATTTATTTCATATCGGATGTTGCACACATGTTTGTCTCCTGCGCAAAATTATTGGACTAAAAATGATTTCGCTTCAAATTTAACCCAACATTAATTTCTCTTTAAAATGCAGAAATGATTTTTTTTCATCATTTTTCAATTTTAGTCGATTCATTAGTCGATTCAACTGCGAAAATGGTTTTTTGTATTAAAGAGAGGGATAATATTGCAGTATCAGTAGCGAGCTGCAATTTCAGTTTAAATAATTAATGGTAGGCTATAACTACAGCTGAACCATATCACGATGACAATAAAGCATATTGAAAAATCAATAAATTCTTTCATTTGTCAGACTGCTGCGATTTGTTTTCACGTGTGGTGTGTTCTTTTGTGTGCTTTTCGATACGCGGTTCCATTCAATATTGCGGCCGAACGGAAAATAAATAGAATAGCATGGTTCGCATTTGAAAATAGCAGCGCCCATGGTGCGATTAATAATGTGCGATAGGGAATAATGTCAGTATTGCCGACACAACTTGCGGCAAATTTCTAATTTTGGCACAGCCTGATCGATTGATTTGTGTGATCGAAATTCACACATTTGCTTTATTACCTCCAAACTCGCAATCGATTGGAATAAATGGCTCGTATTTTACGCAGAAACATAAAAATGAGCACAATGCCCATTATTCATATATTCGAAAAAGCATTTTGTGTTTAAATAAACTACGTAGAAATGCAGCTCGAACTGGTGACCTCATTAGTTTGGTATCAGTTGAAAAGGGCTTTTTTCTTGTATTAACTATTACTTTCCAAATGTATTTTTTGTTTCCATCGGTTGGGTAATGCAAATACACAACAAGACTTTCACACTATCAGTTTCAATGGAACAAATGATTGCAAGCAATCGCATGATAATTCTCAATCGAATCGCCCGAAGCAATAGAATCATTAGAGTAGAGACGATACCGTGGCATTAATGGTGAAAGAGGGAAAGAGAGAAGAAAGAGGCGCGCGAACATTGAAAGAGAAAGAGCGAGACACTGAAGGAGTAGGAAAGAGATAAAAAATGGCAATAATTCGTTTTGCATGAAATTGTAAATTGCAAAAGCCCTCAATTAACAAACATGCTTCAAATGCACATCGAAGTGCACAACGATTAAAAAGTCAAATCGAAGACAAAACAATAAATAAGAGAACAAAAAAGAAGTCAACCGCAATAATTTCGATCAATTGTTTCGGTTTTTTGTGTGAGTGTGTGTGTGTGTGCCTGCATTGCAATTGTTTTGTGCAAATCGTTCGTGGTATTCGATTTCTTATGGTGTTTCAATATGAATTTGATGATGTGCACCAAAGTGCCAGCTGATTTGGTGCGCTCGATACAAAACACCAACACGAAATGATGCATCGTTTGTTCATGCTTCGATTCGGCAAAACCATCGTTACAAAGGCAGACGATTACTATTTTTTTTTCTTGCTGTCCGCTTCTCTGTTCCTCTCGACATGGCTCTTTCTTTCTGTCTCTATCTCTCGCTCCTTCTCTATCCCTGACTCTTTATCCCTTTGCCCGCTTATTTAGTCTCGGGGAGCTAAGCTCACGTGTGTCGCAGCGTGTTCGTTCACAAATGATTGCTGGCATTTGCCTATTGTGTTCGATCTTAGAGTTCCATCATCTTGTATAGATTTTTGGGCGTATTTTGAAATCCGTTCAATCTCTTCCCATTACCTACAGTCCCACATACCTAGTTTTGTGATTTTTCTTTCTCTCTCTCTCTCTCTCTCTCTCCCTCCCTCCCTCCCTCCCTCTCTTTCTCTTGATTTTCGATCAAAGCATTTTCCGTTTCACCATTTCTTTTGTATGCATTTATCGGAACATTTTGTTTCTCTTCTGGGCATACAAATGACTATGCACGATATTGTTCGTTTCATTGCATTCAGAACCATATTCCCGTTTGATTCACCAGCCAAAGATAGAACTTTCAAACCAAAGCCCGCAAATCTTTCTCCTTTGAAATAGCGCAAACGATAAAGCCAATCGTGCGGCTGAAACAAATGTTTTGGAGATAATTGCAACAAAGATAGTCAGAGACAGGAAGCAAAGTATTGCAGACACTATGGAGCTCTATATGTGTGAATTGACGATGATTTTATCGATTTTTCGTTTGGTGTTTGTACAAGCATTTTGTTGGATCAAGTTTCTTTTCCATGCCAATAATTATGGATTCGATAACAATAGCAACAATTACACCCGCTGATGGATTTTTACAGTAACATGTGGTGTGAACAACTTTTCTTCTTTGGTATTCTAATGAAGTTCTACGTGTGGCACATACTAAAATAAGAGCTTACGTTTGAAGACTTGAGTTTTCGATGTAAATACGGTTTACAGCACATAAACTGTTCGCTCATACGAATGAAGCATCTCAATTTCGAATGACGCATTGCGCGTACAAATCAAATTGAACCCACTGCGAACGACCTTTTCGTTACACCCGTGTTGCTTTGTGACCGGAATAAAAGAATGAATGCTAATGGAGAAAATTTCAACAGTTGTGTGTATGTGTGTTTGTCTGACTGAATGCAAGAAAACTTTCACATTTGTAATGTTAAAATGTGCAAGCATATGATTAATTGAATAGACAACACCATCGATGAATTCTATAGATATATTCGTTTTTTTAGTTATTTTTTTCTCTTTCTTCAATAGCACGAAGTGATTTCAAATAGTTTTTGGTGATGGTTTCATTTAGAGAAAGAAACCCAATTGAAGAAATTGTGATTGGAAGAAAATGTACAGAGAGAGAGAGAGAGAGAGAAATTGAAACTTAAATTAAACTTACGAGAAATGAATGAAAGTGCATTCAGCAAAGTAAGTGAGAATATATTCATTAAACACTCGTTTTCTCTCTCTCTCTCTCTCTCTCTCTCTCTCTCTCTTTTTCTCTGCGATCTATTGTTATTTGAAATGCAAATCACAAACTAGAAAAAAAGACGATTTTCTCAAACAACTCGACTTGTTTTCTCCTCATTGTTACTCTCTATTTAAACACACAGCAGTGTGTATAATATATCACTGGGTCTTAATTTCTTAACGAAATGCGAGTCAAGCGTTTTGGAAAAGAGGTAAAACTTTCAATGACATCAAATTGTTCTACAAATTTGTGGGCGCAGTCGATTAACGTCGTTATTTTCATGAACGCCATTTACAAACAGAATGAAATACCAAAATTACATACACGATGCACGTAAACGCAGCGTCAATTGCCCACAGCAGAACATGGCGTACAAAACAAAAGGGAGAAAACAACATTGCATTTCACTAAAATCCACTTAATGATTTTTGGTTTGATTTCGTTCAATTGATGGCAAGCACTTTAGGGGGAACACACATAAGGAAAGTACGGCGTTTAATTGATTCGATGATTGAGGTGTGCACATCAGATGATTTACAGTGCGAATTATTCGTGCTGCACATAAAATGGTGTGCTTTTATTAGCGGTGTGCGCGGTGCTGAAACGCATGACGACTGCATTATAAATAGTACATGACTATTCTAACATGAACGGTATTGATGCCATGACAACGAATAAATAAATTGAACTTTAAATTATGTCACCGTTTGCGCGGTCGGTCGGTCGATCCATGATTTTCCCGTTGATCTGAGTCAAATTCTCCTTTTTTTCCAATACAAATGGTGTTAATGTTTATTTGAATTGTGACTCAAGTAAAACCACGCTTTCTCTAAACACTCAGCTTTGACACTCGTTCACACAAGCAGCATTTAGCTCGCTAAAATGAATCTCAAAATGAGATAGCATATAGTGGCTTCCCGCATGAAATTAATTAATGCAATCTTGAAAATGATCAGACAACGAAGGCGAAAACTTTTTGCTGACAATGTTATGCAAATTACCAAAGCTTCGCATACGACAAATCGCATGGAAAATAATATCGTAGCCCCGGAAAAAAAACAGAAACCTCACATTAACCGAATACAAACAATTCGAATGAGAGACAACTGAAAAGTTTTCCGGAAAACCATTAAAATCTTAGGAAATCCATAGACCCCACCACGGATGATTCTGCAGCAATGTACTACATGTTTTAAAACGCTAATATTTGAATATCTTCGGAAACTCTAAGTACTTTCATATTCAACAACAAGAAATTCTATCGAATACGTACTCATTATACACCATTTACAATGCATTTCCCTTTTGACTTGATGAAAACACTTCCCATGAAAGAAACAGATACCATACAAGAATAATTTGTTTCTTCGTTTAAAAAGCATCAACTATTTTATTGGTATTAATTTAAAATTTCTTTTTTATCCATTATTCGCAGGTGCGTCCCCTCCATTTGATCAATTCCAATCAATTTTCTGCTAGAATTCTCTTTTCACGTAAGTTAATCGCTTTTAATTCAAATGGCTGAGGAGTAAAATGTGTTTCAATCACAGCGAACGAATGTGTTAAGTGAAGAATCATTAATGCGCGAATGAATTCCCGGTTTGCAACGTGATCGCATGTGGTTTTGTTTGAATGCATTCAATTTTGAATTGCATGTTGGCAAAATGATAGAAAACGAGAGTCAATTAGAGATGATAATGTTCTGCCTCAAGAATTGCACGAGTCCAGCGCTCAGCGTAAGTGTTGGGCAGGGATTTGTTTTTGTTTTTGGTTGATTGCTTCCCATATGAAAAGAAAAAAAAAACTCGAGCTTGGTTAAATAGATGCTCGTTGGAGTAGCCGGCTAGAGAAGAGAGATTTGGAAAATGATGGGTAACTTTGGTCAAAGGTGCTTATGTTCTTTTGATGAATACAGAAAACACAAAAAAAACACTTACACTTTAATTGGTATGTTCTCTTTGCCTGTTTCATCTAATACACATCCTCGAAGAACGCAAATCGTTTAAAACGCTCCATCCATGAGAGCGGACAACAAAAACCGACAGTGCACCAACTGAAAATGAGAGTAAATCAACTCTGCCAAGCGTATAAATTGAAGAAGCCCATTCAATCTAATACCGACGAGCTATGAATTATTAGCATGTTCGACTGGCTCTCAATCGATCGGTATGCACATTTACTGAGGCATAAACAAACAGCATTTCTCACATTCTCATGCAATGAATCTGTTTTTGATTTTTTTTTCTTCTGTTGCCCCTCATTTTCTCAACAAAACAGTGAGCGCGCGCTCTCCTCTCGAATCACTCAATCTCAATGAACTTTTCTGCTTGATTCATTTTACTGGCCAGACACAGAAGCCCAGGGAAAAAACCACATCGTTGGTATTTCATTTATACGTTAGACAAAAACAAAGCGCACACGGATCCGTAGCATTTCAATAAAATGGCACTTTTCAGTCATGAATTCGATGTTTTCGTGCTTCAATGGAAAAACAAAAGTTAAAGCACGTGACAACAACAGCATACATACAACAACTATTTGTTTGACTACTATAAAATGTTTTTTTTTAATCGAGTGAGAAAAAAAATATCATCCGACAGGCATCTTACGTCGGAATGCCATCAAATTTTGGAAGATCTGTATTCGTACTATACACATGTCATTCGGTTGTTTCGATTGCACAGTGCACACACATATCCAATTCAATTGGAACATTGCAGTTGCGAAATTATGACATGACCAATAAATTATACTGAATCAATATCATAAATTTTGTCGCATTTGGCACAGCATTTTGCATATACGCGCGATTAAATGTTTTGTCCATATTCAAATCAATCATATCACGACAATGACCTATCCAACATTTATTACTTGAACAATTCGAACGCTGAAACTCTTTTTTCAAACTGATTGTATCGTTCAAATCGATTCAATTTTCAAATTACATTCAATACCTTCTGTTATGATCAGGGGAAAAAAAATGCAAATTATTGTTCTGGAACAGTGTTGTCATGACTTGATTCTAGCTTTGGGTCACAGTGGAAAAAACGAATTTTAAACGAAAAAACGAATAATTCTAAATGTTACGCCCCAAAGGAATGTTCCATCAATTGGGGTTTGTTCTACTTAAAATGACCAGATTCTTTCGCCAAATGTCACGACGCTCTTTTCTATCAACCGAATGGCTTTTAAACGTTTCTTTCTCCGGTGGATGAGTGTGTGAAAATGGTCGATCCAAATATAACACGTAAATGTGTGCCATCCAATTGATTGTACGTGAAAAAAAAGATGGTTTACTTTTCGTTCTTCCATTACAAAGTACTCGCTCAATTGACAGAGAGCAGAAAAAAAAGTGAATTTTAGAAAGCCAATGCCATCAAAATTCACCCAAATCTTGACTACATTCCCAAATGCATACGAGATATTTGAGCAGCAAGAATAATGATTTATACATGGAGTAGCGAGACGAAAAGTAAAAAAAAAGAGAAAAACTCACACGTATGAAAATTAGTTCACTAAATAAAATTTAAATTGATCACGAATTCCAGAGCGGCACAAGGAGACACGAACGAATGAACGAGAGAAGAAAATAAAAGAACAATGAACGACGCTTGTCTCCGCTAACAAAACGATTCCAATTAGAAATGGTAGTAAAAAAAAAACCAGCGCCGGTAGAAATGACACCGAATTTTTTTTCAAAGTGGCTTTTCTTCGTTCCACTGGAAAATCTCGAGCAAACCACAGCAGCAGCAGCAGCACTTTGCCGTTCCACATACTGTCCCACTAATCTTTCGTCTCCATCTATCTTTCACATTTCACATTTTAGTTGATGTGTGTATGTTGTGTTTTTTTTTTTGTTGCCTTCTGTTGTTATATGGCATAATACAAATATCACATGCAAATTGCAAAATGTGTCACACAACATTTAAATATGTTGGGCTCGTTCAAATGCTCTTTTTCTATCTCCCGTTTCGTGCATGCATGCTTTTGCTCGATTCAGTCTCACAAATTGCTTTGTATCAATTATTTGGTTGCTCAGTTCCACACATACACACACACACACACACACACACACACACACGTTATACAATCGTTTTTACAAAAGAAAACCGAAAAAAATGAGGAAAAAAACACTTTGGAACTAACTCTCTTTTCGGTGTCGCTAGTTTTTCCAAATAGAATATTACGAAATGGGTTTCTCTCGCTGGTGTGCTCAATCGGCGCACCAATGATCACATACAAGATTGGGCATGTGCTCTCTTTGCCACACAGTTTAACATACTTTTCTTTTCTTCTTTTAATTTCACACATTAATTAGCGTCGCGTTTCTCACTCGCTTATCAATTTCGATCAATTGGAATATCACATTGGTGCGGAAAAGCTAAAACAGTCGATGTCTTTTTGGTTTCATTCGTACAATTTCTGCTCGGTTCATGTTTTGTGAAGGAACAAATTTCAATGTGAAGAAATTCATTTTTTTTGCAGTGGAATTGGTTTCATTGGATGGATTGAGCTAAGTTTTAACAGAGACTTGAAGCTTACTTTTAACCCTCTAATGCATTAATTTTTCCCAGGGCTGGGAGAACTGGTACTTGCTTGATTTTTGGTCATAAATAATTTAAAAAAATATTCATAATCCTGGATTCCTCATGGTGTAGTCAGGAAATGCGATTGACATAAATCGGAGAAAAATCAAATTCATTGTTTAAAAGTGTCAAAAATGTGTCTGATTTCTGGTTCGAATAATTTATTTTGCCAAATTTTTGTTTTTGCACACATTTTTGTTTATAGCTTTACAATCACACTATAGACAAATATTTATTGCCAAAGACAAAAAATAAAGAGAAAACATTGACGAATAAAAATTCCCTTTGAAGCAATGTGATCCGATGTATGGTTTACGTTCTACATGCGTTCGAATGTTACCCGTCTTGAGGCAGTTGTATGCATTCGAGGGTTAACCAATCGATTTGCATTATCGAAGGAAAATAAAAAAACTTTGGTAACATCGACATGAAAAGCACTAACGGAATCGATTTGCATTGAATGGTTGCGCCTTGGCTCAGCACGATATCAATCATATGATGCGACTATATTTATATGGACAGGATCTGACATCAGGGAAAAGCGTTCCGCGTAAATAATCACTAAAGTTCTCGATTCAATGTTTGACGTTTATTTATCGAATGCATGATTTATTACTGCCGCATCCGCCACACCGCAAATAGATAGCATTTTGCCCGCGATTGCACGATGAAACGAATCAACAGTTCAGAACAAACGATAATCAACTATGGTGTAATCTTGTTAACGTGAACTAGCAACGTCGATATTTCTATTTCATAAGCAAGCAGCGACTGGAAATTAAATCGCTTCCAACCAACACACATACTCCAATTTAATGACAAAGAATGCACGAATGCAACAAATGATTCATAAAGAAATGTTAGTTCAAATTCTAGTAGGCAGAACACTGCGATTAGGCCCTCCAAAAACCATTATTGACCATTATGGCAATGATATAGCGAATAAAGCACAAAACCATAGAAAACCAAACGGCCGGCTGATAAATGAAGCGTTAGCGAAAATGAGTGTGTGCCGATGGAAAAGCACGATGATGATGACGAACGAAAAATGATGCTACACATTTAATTGGATTCTATTATCTTTCACGGACACAAAGCCCATTTGCCGAGCATTCAACTCGGAATACACACTCCCGCACGATCAGATTTTGCTTATCTGCAATGATTTTTACGCTTTTTTCTCTCTCTCTCTCTCTCTCTCTCTCTCTCTCTCTCTCTCTCTCTCTCTCTCTCTCTCTGTTTCTTTTACATTTTCAAATACGTACACACATTTAAGACGATAAATCAAAACGACCAAGGTGACAGATGTTCACGCAATTTCCATTAGAATTATTTCACTTCAATCACCATTAATTGTGTTGCGATGCTGCGATGGTTGTTGCTCGCGCGCCCGAACCATATTTAACGGAATTCAATTTCAAAAACTAGCGAACGCTAACGAGATATCGCATCCATGAAAAGGTAGTCATTAGGCGGTTGCATGCCACGACGACGTCGAAGACATTAATCCATAACGAACATTTTCACTTCATTTTGTCTAATCGCATTGAGTATATCATAGTATGTGAACTATGATTGATCCAATTTTATGTGAATTTCAACATCGCGTCTCTTGCTGATTACGTTTTTTTTTCTTTTCTGTTGTTGTTGCCAGCGTCGGAATGGAACAGGGCTCAAGGTGAGTTATAATGCGAACAGCACACAATACAGGCACACGCAAATCGTCAATTGGAAGCTGTTGTTTGGTCGAAACCATTGTTTTGATATTCAAAAAGTGATGACTCTCTTGATCTTTTACTCGCTGCCACAGCGACTAATTCAATCATCGAACGAACCCAAGCGAACTTCCATCTATTCAAGATTGAATGAACAAGAAATCTTCAATGCATTCAAATTGGATTAAA